CGAAGTGTTGTTAGCTTTCTCCTGATTCGTAATAGGTGACAGCTTGATTTTGTTATTCTCAAGGAGGAATTTGAAGATAGCTCTTAATCCTTGAAAGAGTACTCTTTTGGAGTCTCGGATCCGGAGTCCTTCGCTACTTCTAAGGTTGCTATTGTGACATCTGATTAGCGTCAACAGCCACTACAAGTGCCTTTCCCTTACCACAAGAAGAAAATTTCGAGTTCGGGGGGTTAGTCGTCAGTTGGCATCTTTCAAGCTTTTTTTCTTTTGAGAAAGTGTTCGACCTGTTCCCAACGTAGTTTTAATTCTTTCCATGTTGTGGATGACACGACCCCCAGGGATTCCAGCACATCAATGGAGAGATTATTGTAACATGTCTGCAAGATAAATTCCTCTGTGACAGGATCCCTATAATTCATTGCCTTGTTACGGAACCGTTTAACAAATCTATCAACTGACTTCCCGTCCTTTTTCTTCTCGTCCAAAAGGGCTCCAATCGACACTTCGGTGTCATCATCGAAGAAGTTGTTGAGGAACGAGCTTTCCATGTTGTTCTAGCTGTTGATACTTCCTGACTTGAGACGACGGTACCAATCAAAGACAGTCCCGTGAAGGATGCCAACGAATGACCGGACCATCAAAGGTTCGTTGCTGGAGATCACACCTAGGTGGGACTTGAAGTAAATTAGGTGTTGAGTGGGTGAACCCTTTTCGTCGAACGGCGTGAAGTTAATTGGATTGAACTTGGCCAGATACGAGATTGACTCTTACTCTCTTAGGTAGGGACATGGAATACCAGTCTTCTTTACCTCTTGAGCGGACATCAGTGCGTTGATCTTGTTCTCCAAGTCTTTTATTTTCTCATCCTCGCCCGCATTTTCCTTCAGGCAATTTTCGGGAGGAACAACTGGACCACCTCCAGCGTTGTCATCCTCGGTAGGACCACCCTTGGCATTTTGGTCAACATGAGGGGTATCAGCGTTAAGATTCTCTTTTACTTCTGAATCGCTATCTACTTGATTGGTAGCGTTGTGACGGCTAGATTCCCCAATCTGATTCGATAAGGCTTGAATTTGTTGATCATGCAATTCCCTTATCTACTGCACAGTCATCTCCATTTCGAATTTAAAATTCTCTTTCTACTTGGCCAGAGCGTCTTCGAGGATTTTGACCATTTGTTCAGTGTTGATCATGAACGTCTCACGAGATTGTCCTGTGCTGGACACTATATTGTCGGAAGCGATGGCGGAGTTGGCATCTGACATTTCATCCTCCGAGGAGTGTCCTCTATCCGATCTAGGTCGTCTAGTTCCTGATCGTAACCAAGCGACGTGCTGAGATGCCTCCGAGAAAGAGTCAGAGCTGTAACGCATTGTCGATTTTCCTTTATCGGCCACATTGATGGTAACTTTTGGAAGCTCGTCATCATGACCGACAGATTTTTTTTCTTGTAGAAGCATCTTGATTTAGATTTGGACACTTCAGTGGAGATTCTTTCGAATACCGAGACCCTCAGTGGAGCGATCATGAGGCAGCTATACTCTGATAATACTGTCCTAATTAATCTCTCACAAGGACAGTGAAAGTCTAATTCTAGGATACTTCTCTTTCAAAATTTATTTGTACCCCCAGCTCGATAGTACAACTCATCGACGTTGTAGTCATAGCAACCTATCCGCTGTTGGTTTGAGTCTTTAGGTATAACGTTGTCGTTCGACAAACACGTTTTCTTTTAAATGGGTAACGCCTTGTTAGCGTTCGCATGAGTCATGTGTTTGGGACCACGCCCTCGAGAGGGTGCGTCCTTAACGGGCTCCTGGTCTTCTGCACGCAACCCCAAGTGGACAGTTACAAGAATGGTCTTGTTGGGAGGTTGTGTATGACCCCCAGTCCGGTGAGTTGTTCGAGGTTCATTCATTGGGCCAAAGCATTCTCTGACTGGAAGTTTGCCTCGATCCCCATGAAAAGGACCAAGACGATCCGTGATCTTCATCATGAAAATCGGGAAAGATCTACGCTGCCGTGGGACTTCACCAAAGATATTGGATCAACTTGAATAGGAACGGAAGCGGATGTGGACTCAGAAATGACCACAGGAGGCGAGGCAAGTGCCGACTAGGCTGAGCTGGCTCGGCCACAACGCGGGCCAGACTTGAGGTGGCTCGGCCTTGGCTGAGCCACCCTATTGGCTGGCTCGGCTTTAGCCGAGCACCCATTGGCTGGCCTGACGCCTGGTCGGCCTTGGCTGGTTTGCAATTTTCGGGTGTCTTGGCACTTGTTTGAGTCGCTGTTTTGGATTTCGGCATCCATTTTTGGCGTGGTTTTAGTGGTTTCTTGGCCACATTGTCTTCCTTCGTGTCTTGTGCTTTTCGTGCTAACGCACGCACACAACGCTTTTCGATGTGTTCCTCGAGAGTTGAACGAGTCTTTTTGATACGGACTCATTCGCTGGTCGAGGGCTTGGAGGAGGGGTCATTTGTTTGCTGTTGAGGCGCTTGGCGCTCTCTGAACTTCAAATCCGCGTGATAACAGATCCTGTCAACCGGCTCCAAGGCCTTGGTAAGCTGACGTGAGAGGCGTTGGCGTTGCCTCTGACGATCATTCTTAGTCAGAATTGGCGCGCCTTCGTTAAATAACTCCTGGACTGAATAAGAGTCATTGTGATCTAAAATCTCGGCTTCATTGGATGCCAGAGGAGCATTACGAGGGGATGCCTCAGCAACAATTGGGCGAGAGTCACCCCGAGCCTTCTTTGCTGCTAATATCTTCCTGTACTTGCGGGACGAGGAAGATCTTGATGAGGATGAGGAGAAGTATTCCTCAAACTTGGCCTGGTTGAACTCGTACTCGACCTCTTCTTCAACCGGGATCTAGATCCTTGATTGCGACATGATAGCCTTGGCAGAGAGGCTGTTGGCTCCCATTGTGATCGCCAGCGTTTTTGCGTCGAAAGTTGGTTTATTTGTCGAATCTATTACACGTTTATCGATTACAATGAATTCAAAAGAGCTAATCTTTTTTTATAAGACTACTCACTTACAAATAAAATAAAAATACAAATCTCTAGAAACACACGCAAATGACGTTTATCACTTGCTGCTTGTGTGTGATCTTTGCATGTGTCGGGGACACGTTAGTCTGTGGACCACCGCAGATCAGATTCGGTTGACAGAACAAAAATTTAATGCTCTTGGTTCACAATGGAAACAATCGCAGAAGTGATAATCTCAACCAAGTGAGATTACGACTCTTCTCGAGATCAAAACCAAGTTTGATCCAGAGGAAAGGGGAATGAGCCTCAGATCTCTCGAACTCTCCCTCTTTATGCTGAAGAACTTCGCCAAGATATGTTAGCCTCTCTGAAATCCGTGATTCACTTTTCGCAGGGACAACGTCTCGCCTAAATTTCAGATCCCCCGTGTATAGGGGCCCTAGGCTTGTATTTATTGGCTTCGGATGTAACGTTTTAGGATAGGAATTGATGATTTGACCGTTTGCTCAGTTAATAATCACTTAACCACGTTTAGGGATAGTATCAAAACAGTTGGGTAGGCTCTAGAATGAAAGAATCACGAGAAAATTATCAAAAAAAATGTGTTTTCGGTATTTCTGGGCGCGAGCCACCCTACGGTGGTTCGGCACTGTGTGAGCCACCCTATGGTGGCTCGGCCCTGGTCGTTTCGACGCGACTCGGCTGCCAGGGGCTTCTCCGGTTTGGTCTTGTTCCGCCGTTTTGCGCATTTCGTCGTTTTGTTGACTCGTACGCTTTGTTGACTTGCTTCGTGCACTTGTAGCTCTTTTCGGTACCGGATAATCTCGTTTGACTCGGGTGATAACGTTCATCGCCTTCTCTTCATTTTGAGCCATTCGCGGGAACCTATAGGCAATTTTGACGCCTACAAGAAGGAATCGACGGAGATCCTTCCCTTTATTTAAAACTGAGTTCTTCTTGCTGGCGATGGAAGTTTGAATCTTGTATCCCGTTGACGATCCGAGCACCTCGCTTCGTGGAACATTGTCTATTCCTCTTGACTTGACATCGGGAAGAACTTGCGATGTAAGTTTTGAACTCTAACGAGTTTAAGAACTCTATAGAAGAGTTAATTTTAGAAAGAAAATTAATCCCTTTTAATTGAAATTAGAGGACAAACTGATCTTCAGTTCTTCAATCGATAATGATTCAAAAGTCAAGGGCGAAAAGCTCCAAACCTTCAACAAAAGCTTTCACAAAATGCTCCAATGGTTCCTCAAGGTTGCCGAGAGATCTCTCAAAAGCTCTAGCCAAAAAAATGCTCCAAGAGAAAGATAAAATGCCGATCCCCAAAAGCTCTAGCCGAAGATCCCGAACTCAGCTGAGTTTCCAGCCATTCATAGGGGTTTTAGGGGTGTAACTAACCCCTAAAATCACTCCTTAGTGGGGTTGTGATCTCCTCAGATCACGCAAAACGGTTTTGGAACTGTTCAACTCGTGTTTGAACGAGTCCAACGCGAAGTTCGCGTTCTAGGAATGGACTCCGCGTATTGAACTTCGGACACGGAATTGGGCTCTACGTTTGGGTCCGAAAACACAGTGGTGAACCCTGCATTCTGTTCTTGGAATGCAGATGTGAACTCCTCGTCTTGAGTTTGGAACGCAGCAATGAGCTTCGCGTTTTGTTCTTGGAACGCAGAGGTGAGCTCTGCGTCTTGAGTTGAAGAGACCATCAACTTGTAATCTTTTTTGTCAGAGTGTTGCAAAAATTATCATCTCATAATCTTCGTCTTGGCTTCTTGAAACATGAGAGTCTTCAGTTGTAACTCTTGTTGATGATTGTGAAGGCTGTCGAATCAAAACTTTCATAAGTTGTTGTAAAGGTCATCAAATTGTAATCTTCGTCGATTGATGTGAAAATCTCCCAATTGTAACCTTCTGAAAGTCGTCAAATTGTAACTTTCATCATTGGTGATTGACATGAATCAATTATCTGTAGTAATTTTTAGACAGCCTACACAAAGTTTTGAGATTCATGACAAGGTTCACTCAAGATAAAATAAATGTACATACAAAGGTTCTCATACTCAGCAAAGGTAAAATCTGATACATACACTTCAAATTAGCAACAGAGAATGGTCGATAGAAAAAGCAAATAGACAAGAAAATACAGCAAATACTCCAGTTTAACAATTTGTGAGTTGTAAAATGGTCAACAGTTCCAACTTCCTGCAGCAGCACGCTGTATGCATTTTGCTTCATGTTAAATCCAAAGGTGAAAGCTTTCCATCATAATGCACATCTTTGCAGTACTGCAAATTACTCAGTTATCTCGTTAGGGTCTTCGTCGCCATCTACTGATCCTGTATTATCAGGTGATGATTCGCTTGGAAGTTCTTCAGCTTCATCAAATGAATCAGAATCTTTCGTTTCAGCAGCGTACAAAATTTTCCTTATTGCTTTCGTCATCTAAGGCAGAACACAGGTTTTTTTTAAAAAAAAGAAGATATATTTAATGCGGGTAAAATTATAAGCAAGCAATGACAGATAAGTGCTTGTCTCATATAACAACATAAAATTTTGCTCATGGCTGCAGATTCGTGATGGTCATGCGGTTTAAGCTCATACAACAATGGAGACGTGCTATGGAAGTTCCACAAACTAAGGAAAGAAGATGAGCTGTTCTTGGAGTTTTAGGTACAAGTAAATTGACTGCAAATAAAACCAAGATCGTGCTTATAAATCAGAGTCTGAAGAACTATTATTCATTTGACAGTGATTTTGGCTTGGAACCACAAGCTAAGGATCTTCCAGCAACTTAAAGAAAAGTGCAGCTCAAATAGGAAAAAGTTCAATTAACTGCCACTTCAATATCGATATTATATTAAATGACAGAGCTCATGGACGATCTTGAACGTGAAACATCCCATAACCAAACCCTCTTCTTTTACCACTGAGCTAAGCCTCCAGCGGCATGTAGTCAGAGTTCAAGAGATTGTATGACATTTTATTGTAATAATTATGATCCAAGCTGGGTATTTTCTAACCGCTTATATATATCTTTTTCTTTATAGTCAATAAAATAGTTTCTCTTGGTGATTTTCACTGGGATAATTCTAATAATAATAATAATAATTAACAGTTGTGCAGACCCTTGTGTACTTATATCAACATAGGCATACATTCAACAAGCAGTGTTTTATCTGCATTTATTGAACAACTGCTATAAGAACCATTTTTTAATGATCAAACAGAAACTTCCTTCCTGCAATATCTGACAAAACTTGAACAAGCAAGTATGATTGCTCATGTCAGTTGACTTGAAATTGCTTTTGCTTTTAAAAACACTAATTGCAGAAAGGCAAGCGAAGGAGTAAACTAGAATTCTGAAGTGAGCAATCGTGGCTTATCCACAATCAAGTGTTTGAAATCATAAAAGCAGTGTCTAATACTGATGATAATGTTGTTTTTGCCAATTTGAATACATGGACATCAACCTATTGATAACTTTAAATTATAATAACCTTTTCTCTTTGTATCATATTTTCAGTTCTAGCATACCATGAAAGTGTACTTTGAAAACACAGCTGGTATACAAACAACAGAAATGGCTGCGAGACTTCCTGGGTGTACCAGATCAGTAAAAGAATAGTATCCCTGGCATTTAATTTAATATATTCTGCAACTGGATATTTGGATAGGAACCAGTAACTATCTAGAGTGCAAAAATAAGATGCCGATTTACGTACCACTTAGTTCAAGTAGATTTTTTTTTGTTTTTATTTTCTAATTTATTTATTTTGAGTTGTGAGGTCAATTGAAATTGGGTATGCACTGACAATTCCTTGGGTGATATAAATTTGCATACAAAATCATGATGCAATATTGTGTGTCACCAAAATACATGCACATGCCTGAGTATGTAAGTTTCATCACATGAATGTACACATGACCATGTATATAAGTGAGGGAGTAGAGCAAGGAAGTAGAGTTAAGCTAAACGTGGCAAGCAAAAAATAATAGATAGTATCAACATGTATGCATGGAGAGTATACAGACAGGTGGACATTTATACAAGAAATTTGGAATAAATAGCAGTTTATAGAAGACAAAATAATACCGGAAGGTGCTCTAACTCAGGACTTTGGCTAAGGATTTCGATATCTCGCAACTTTGCAAAGTAGAAATCTCTTTCTTTCTCCATGGTGTCCATTGACAACTTAATATCTGCAATCTGAATTATACTAGGACAATTACTCTTTTGTGATGGCAGAATAAAAGCATTATATGATGCAAAAAGGATTTGTAGCCAGATGATATTATTTTCTTGATTGTAGGAAGAAGGAACCACTTTCATCAGTAAATACGGGAACTGGACCTTTTAACTGGTCAAATCACATTATCTGAAGGCCTCACAACAAAGTGCTTCAGAGATCATAATTCTATAGAATGTGTATCAAATAGTCTATGATTATACATTGTTGACCTCTTAAATAATCAAAATGCTCATTTATTTCTCCTTCTCTACATATCTATGTCAACTGAATCATATGATATCTATATATCTTTTGTTTCAGAGTACAGAAAAACAAGAGCATGCAATATGAGTTAATTCATTACTATCTTGAAAGAATCCAGCTCACTGAGATCAAGGGCAATTTCACTATATAAAGCTTAGTACAAAATCTGAATTTTATTATTATCGGCATGGAAGAGTACAAAGACAGCTTACTGAGAAGATGACTTATATAATCAGCGATACAAAACAGTATATCAACACAACAATGATATCAACAAAAGAACAAGGATATATCATTTTAAACTAGACTATGTGTACCTTGTCAGTTAGTTCTTGGATCTGCTCTCTAGTGTTATCCACATTAGGTGTAGCATGCACTTGTCTTGCCCTGGGACCTGCATTATAGTATATGGATGCTAACTTAGACAATGACGGACAAGTCTCCAATTTTATATTATCTGGAAAAAAAGAAGTCTCAAATTTTATCCAAGTAATGCTGCTGACATTATAATAAAAAAATCCAACTTATAATAATTCAGTCAGAAACAAAATTCAGATAAAGGAAGTGGGTTTAGCGGAAGAACACTAAACTAGAAGGGAAGAAGTAGGGGGAAAAGGTCGGAAGCATCATCAATCGCTATTTTTTGAGCAATGTTCTACTAGCATCACAACTTATTAGTGAATTACAGGTTGTTAAAATTTCATTACAATGCACATGCACTTCATAAGGTCCATAAAATGTATGTAAAGCTTGTGATTAATTGGTTGATGCTGAAGGATTTAGAGGATAAGCATAGGAAGAACTTGAGCTAAATATGATATTTCAATAATATAGAAAACAAGCTAAGGGGGCCTACTGGAAATGTTGTGGCTTGCATCCTTCATTAAGTCACAGTTAGCTGAATTGTTCGCTACCAGCGATTTGCTGGAACGTTGGTAGCCTCTTGGACCTCGTCCTCCCTTGCTTCTTCTTTCCACGGGATTATAATTCCTAAAAAGGAGGGATAGAGATTTGTACTTCTCAACAGAAGAAAATTATAAAACCATAATGTGCCGTTTGAGACCAAAAAAAAAAGGGATGAGGGCGCATACTCATTTTTTATGCCACCATTCACAGAATCACAATAGCGCTTTAGCCACTGTAAGAACTCTAAGTTGTCCAACGGCCTTCCTTTAACCAGTTTATTAACTTCAATATGCTACAGTGAAAGACCATATGAAAAAGACAGAAATTTTTATTTCAATCCACACCAAAATGTAAGCATAACTCAAGCAAAAAGTCAGGATAAGAAAACTGAACCAGTTGATTAATTTTGTCTACATATATGCCCCCAAGTCTTGCATACGGACATGAAGGCACAAAGATGGAGGACGTAAAAAACCACATACACCCAGACATGCATGCAGAATCATGTGTGTGCACGCATAGTACATTACTTCAAAGATAACATTGGTCCATGAGGGGTTTCTTGTTCTACAATAATAATTCCTTAAATTGGAAGTACTACCACAAAAATATTTTTACCTATCTCTTCCAATTCTACTTGCTTTTCACCCAAAGAGTGATGTGGAGTACCTTCTGCAGATACCTTCTGCAGATCAGACACTTTTTGAACGGTAGCAATTTCAATATTCAATCAGCACAGAAGGGCAATTCGTGAGATATAAAGGGTTAATGGATTACAAGTTCCATAAGGATCTCAAGTGGAGCCAGCCAAATAAGTATAGCAAGCGGTTAACACCGGCATAGAGTAAAGGACAATGATGAAAGATGATAATGGGAAACATGCTTAGCAAAAATGTACCTTTTCAATTTTCAACTTTGCAAATGCTTCTTGCAGAATTTTATAATTCTGGATCATGTCATACTCTGACTTCGCCTCAAAATTCACCTAAAACAAATGGAAATCGGGTGCATCATTCGAGCATCTGATATTCAAACAGAAGCGAGGAAAAGAATAAGCAGGAAACAGAAGTGGACAAACCTTGTGCATAGGAACGAGACCTGGGCGAATCATATCCATCATTTGACACTGAACAGCTCCAGAAGCTGCCTGCATGTAACAAGCTACTATAAATCAGAATTGTTCAGCGTATATCACAATACACCTAACATTTATATAACCATTTAAATGACGCTTCATAATCAATACAATAACTATGTATTTATGAGAAATATGACAGGTTAATCTACATGCTCCCAGAGCACGAATGCTGTAACAACAACAACAATCCAAAATGTTTAGGGTCCGTTTACATGAATACTATTTTTCCATTCATTTCTGTTATGGGTCATCTTCTCCGTTAAATTACGTCTAATATCCTTCTTAATTGCGTCTAACCAAGTCATTTTAAGTCTACCTCTAGATCTCCTAGCCCCATTAATTTTGATATTATCGCTTTTCCTAATCGGTGTGCTAAGGGTCTCCGTTGTACATGACCAAATCATCTTAATCTATTCTTTCTCATTTTATCTTCAATATGAGCAACCACTAATTTACTACGGATGTACTCATTTTTTATACTATCTTTTAATGTATATCCACAAGACCATCACAGCATTCTCATTTCTGCTACACTCATTTTTTAAACATGTTTTTTAATTGCCCAACATTCTAACCCATAAAGCATAATTGGTCTTATAATCATCCTATAAAATTTTCCATTCGTTTCATTGGTATTCTACGATCACATAAAACTCTTAAGCACTCCTCCATTTCAACCATTCCAATTTGATTTGATACACAACATTATTCTCAATCTCACCATAATGCCTAATGACTGATCTTAAATAGCGAAAATGATTAATTTTAAGTATTTCTTGGTCATCAATATGTACCATAAGCTCTCTTCCTTTCCAGTTTTACTAAAAATACATTCCATATATTCTATTTTTGCTCTACTAATTTTAAAACCTTTAGATTCAAGAGTTGGTCTTTATCCTTCTACTTTAGAAATAATGTCTCTTCTAGTTTCATCAATTACCATTATATCATCAGTAAATAACATACACCATAAGATTTTATTCTAAATGTGCTTAGCAAGTTGATCCATAATTAATGCAAAAAGATAAGGACTTAAAGCTGACCCTTGGTGTAAACCTATGGTAATAGAAATGATTTAGTCTCTCTTTCATTAGTTCTTACTTTAATAGTTACTCTATTATATATATCTATAATCACATCAATATATATACTAGATACATGTTTCATTTCTAATACCCACCATACTACCTCTCTAAGCACTCTATCACAAGCTTTTACTAAATCGATAAAAATCATATGTAGATCATTTCTCTTCCCTTTATATCTCTTCATCAACCGTCTCAAAAATATGTAAAGGTTCCATAGTAAACCTCTCAGGTATAAAACCAAATTAATTTCAGATATAATTATCTCCTTTATTAGTCTTTGCTCAATTACCCTCTTCTAAAGTTTCATAATATGACTCATGAGTTTTATACCTCGATAATTTGAACAACTTTGTATAACTCATTTATTCTTGTATATCTGTATCAAAATACTAATCCTCCACTCATCTGACATTCTTTTCATCTCGATAATCTTATTAAATAGTTTAGTTAACCATTCTAAGCCTATATCTCCAAGACATTTCCAACGTTCAATAGAGATATCGACCGATCCTACGGCTCTTTCACTTTTCATTTTCTTTAGAGCATCTTTAACCTTACTAATTCTAATTTTTCGATAATGTCTATAGCTCATATTATTTACTATATGATCAAAATCTCTATTTTGCTTACTTGTTTGGTTCTCATAAAATACTTAATAAAAGTAACTCTTCCACCTCTCTTTTATTTCCCCTTCGGTCAGTAAAATTGTTTTATCCTCACTTTTAATACGCCTAATATTACCTAAATCTCTACTCTTTCTTTTTCTAATCTTAGCAAGCTTATATATATATTTTTCTCCCTCCTTAGATTCTAACTTCTTATAAAAAATTTCATAAGGCTTCTATTTATTCTCACTAATCGCTCTTTTTTACTTCCTTCCTTACTAGTTTATATTTTTCCAAATTTTTTCTACTCCTACACTTTTGCCACTCTTTATATAAAGTTTTCTTCTCTCTAATAATCTTTTGCACACTTTTATTTTATCACCAACTCTCCTTACCATCTAATCTACAACTTTTAGATTCTCCTAGTATATCTTCAGCCGTTTTCCTAATACAAGACATGCTATTCCACATAATATTAGTCTCATTATCTATATTCCATATATATTCTTTCATTATCTTATCTTTAAAATGTATTAAATTCTCTTCTTTTAAATCTTATTATTTAGTTCTTAGTCTCTTGTTCACGTTAGTTTGTCTACTCTACTTCTTAATAAATATGTCTAAGACCATTAATCTATGTTGTGTATTTAAACTCTCCCGGTGTAACTTTACAATCTTTGCGTATTAACCTAACCGTCCTTCTAGTAAGAAAAAAGTCTATTTGACTATTATTAAAATCATTTTTAAAGATTATTAAATTTTATTCTTTTTTCTAAAAAGTGTATTTGCTATTATCAAATTATACTTTATAATGCTTCAATTAATGAATAATAATCTCCCTTCATTAGCAGACAAGTGTTCTACATTAACTGCCTAATTAAATTAGTTCACAACTTTGAGATAACCAAAAGTCCCCAGCTCGGACGACTCGAAGGGACATGTCGCATAGCTGGCTCAAAAGGTAGTA